CAAGGAGTGCCTTTGTGACAAGTGAGTTCACTGATCCAGAACCAGAAAATAGGCTTCAGAGACAGGAAGAACAAAAAAACCAAAGTTTTAATGCAGTTTCAGTCTTGCAATCCTGCGTGTCTGATGGATAGGCACAAGCAGAGCGGTCACCTCAAGCTGTTTTCACCCTAGCATGCAGGTGATCACTCTCCCTTGTTCCTCACTGGCCTAGTACTAGGGGAGGCACAGTCTTTTCCGGGATGTGTCCTAATGTTTCATCACCTCTTTATAAGGTATCTTCCTGGTCCTCTCCAAATTTGAGTTTGTATTTTTTCATACTAATATGTTTTTTTCTCTGAGACTTTCTGAGAAGCAAATGTTCCTGTGTAGTGATTTCATGTGACCTTGCAATTTCACTGTTTCTATTTAGCTTTAGCTAGAAGAATATGAGTTTCTTTTCCCTTTCTCTACTCATGCCCACATTTTACAAAAGTGTCCTTCCTTACTATTTTTATCTTTCCCTTAAGGTTCCATCTACCCAGAGACCCTCCAAATGGAGTTTGTCACGCAGTTACAAAACTGCCAGTAATTTTCCACTCAGAGTTGAAATATTTCATCTTGAAAATGGACCACCTTTAGATTTCTTTTTCTCTTACATATTGGATGGGAATAGGTTCTGGACCACTCTAGCAAGGTAGAAAGTAGGCTGGCCCAGCCAAATCTGACCCAAATACAAGGCTGCCCAGTAAACACCAGGCCCCAGTGTCATAGTGAAAACCAGAAGATCTGGACCTTGGGTCAGTAGGTCCTTCTGGAATTGGCAAATAATTTACACACTATTCATAAAAAAAGCCAGGCTCTACCTACACAGACTTTCTGGTTGGTGTAGGCCAAAGAAACAGTTCCAATATTGGGGTTTTAAAACAGAAAGAAAGCTACAGAAATAAAGTGAAGTAAGTAGCCCTGGGAAAGCAGAACAGGGTATGGAGTCCATCTTCTGCCAAATTTCATCCCCTTCTTAACAATGTGGTTATCATGCATTTCACTACATCAGATCTGGGTGGTTTCTGGGGTATCACTTGGAGAGACAAAGCATAGTTGTCACACACCTCACTTTTAAAGAAAACTAATGTTGCTAGAAGCTTAGCACTGACCACAAAACAGACAGGAAGAGGCCCTGCACTGAGATTCTGAAATGCAGGTGTGTAGCCGCAACCCCCCCCCCCCCGAGGGTAACTAGCTCAGGACAAGCCCCTTGCCTTCTCTGGGCCCCAGTTTGATCAGCTGAAGTGGGGCATTGGGCTAAATATGCCTCAAACTTCCCAGTTCCAACCCCTGTGAACCTATGAATAAGTACACTGAAGAGTTACTCTGGATGCATGAACTCAGCTGGGGCACATGGCTTGGAAAGTCTCCCTGGCTTCTGTGACACTGTGGATCCCAGCAGGCACCATAGTATGGGTCTTCATCAGAGGGGACAACATTATTGATGATCAGGTAAAACACACCATTATCTTTCTCATCAGCCTCCACACAGCAGTCGGGTTGGTCTTGCTTGTAATTCTTGGCTGAGCCATAAAGGATCCTTTTCAGGGCCTCTGCTTCTTTCAGTTGACACCAGTGCACAGTGACATTCTGGAGGAGGACCCCAGAGAACTTGCAACTTATGTGCACCATCTTGCCTGGTCTTCAGGTAAAGGAGAGCTGGTCCTGAGATACTATAACTTCAGTGTCTCCATCAGAAAAGCAAAGAAGAGAAATTAGAGATGAAATATTTTCATTTTCAGTTGATTCTGGAAATAAAAAGAATAAAAGGACAAAGGAAGAGTTAAGTCAACCTACAAATCCAAGTCACAGATCAGAGAAAAAGCCACACATGGATTTGGCATTTCCAGTGACTAGTTAGAATGGACACCAGAAGGGACAATGAATTAAGGCCTGGGATACAACGTCAGCCTTTGCTCTGAGGAGGAGGGAAAGGGGAAGAAGAGCCTTGTTTCGAGCCAGTGAGGGTCCTGCACAGTTAGATCTGTTGTAGAGTTATTTTAGCACCTTTCTGGAGTAAGCAACTATAAGACATCACAAAATACCTGCATTACACTAACATATTGTGACTTTTCCCTTGGGAGCAATCTCTTCTTTATCTTTCTTCAAATGCTGTTTCACAGACATCTCTTCTTGACCTCTCTTTCACTCCCTGAAAAAGGGAGTTTATATTTTTGGCCCTATTTTTTAAGAACTTTGAGTAGCTTTGCAAGGCTCTCACGAGGATGAATACCTAGTGCATGTTAACACTGTGGTGCCCACCTAAAACTGGAAGAACAGGATGAAAAACTAAAAGTTTGATAGGTCACATTATCTGTCAGTGGCCCCACAGCAATGTGAAACCTAGCTTGATTTCATCTAAGATCTTATATTCATTCATTCATTCATTCATTCATTCCATGTCAATAAACCATCTTAAGCAGTGCATCATGGCTTCCTTCCCAGGAGGCTTCCTGTAGCTGAGAGGCAGAGATCACTGGGGGAATTTACAAAAGACAGCCCAGGATAGGGTTGGAGAGAGGACAACACTCCTACTGAAGGAAGCCTCACAGACTGGACCCTTAGGGTTCAGCTGTGACTTTGCTTATGACATTTTTTCAGGAGAAAAGCACCCTGTGGGCTCAGTCAGGTCCCTCTGCAAGGTGGCCAGGAGGAGGTGGGTTGTTTGCACAGGGGACACCCACTTGGAAGGGTTTCTGTTTGGGGAGAGCACAGCCTGTTGATACAGTGCATCCCAGTAGGTACATAGTAGGTCCCAGCATCCTCCTGGCTACACAATGTATCCTGAAGCTGGAGGAAAAGTCCCTGAACAGTTTCCTGGCTTCGTATCTCTCCTCACCAACCCCTTGCTCATGCACAGAATCTTCATTTGAAGAAAAGTACAGAGCCTGTGTTAGAGGCTGCTCTGACCTCTGTTGGTACCAGCATTCTAGAAATGTCATATTTCCTTTTTCTTGATGTTTGATACAAGCTGTGAGATGACAATGTCTCCACTTGTGTCTGAAAGAAAGCAAAAGCAAAATTTTTTGAAACTTATCAAAATTGTGATATTTTGAAGTTCATTAAAATAGCACACATTTGTTCATTGGTTTTCTATTCATGCAGAGCTTGGAGTCTGGAGTTTACATTTCCTTCCTGAAGAATTCAAGGTCCTGGTGGGATTTGTCAGCTTGGTTTGCATGGCTCTGTGGCTGTCCTGCACCTGACATGGAGTGATATGATCATCCAGGCTTCTCTTGTCCCCTTTCTAGTAAGGGAGATGACATCCTTGGCTAAAGTGACTCACAAGTGGAGAGGGGGATCCTCAGGGTGACCTGCAGCAGGAGCAAATCTTCCAGAACTTGTCCCAAGATGGGCTGAGGGACAAGATGTGATGATGCAGCATGCTCACCTGAGTCTGCTGCAGGGAGGGAAGCAGGGCCTGAACATGGAGCTAGGACCTGTGGAAGGAAGGATATGGGCCGTAGTGTTTCACCAACTCATCCTCGGGAAGTGGTTTTCTATGTCAATACATTAACAGATTGCCCTCATTATTGTTACCATCTAAACATGTTAATATGAAGAACTTTTTATGGATTATTTAAGTTATTCCACTCAAAGTTCATTCAGGTAAAAATTAATATGGTCTCCATTTTAAATGAGGAAAATAATAGATATATGAAGTAATTTATCCAGTCACAGCATTACAATGGGAAGGCTAGACATGTAACAAAGGCTCAGTCAATAAACCCTGAGAAATAAGGAAATGGAAAATAAAAATAAGTGTCACTCATCAGCATATCACCCTGGGGCAGCAAGTAACACATTTGTTTGCTAAAGAGCCAACTAATAAATATCTGTTGAAATTACCCAGCCATAACAGGTTAGTGCAAAGCCACCTTGGAGCAATATGTAAACAAATGTGAGAGGTTGTTTCAGTCAACTTTGTTTACAAATCTCAGGGCTGCTAGCATAGACCCAGTTGCTGACCCACTTTCTAAATCCATGGTAGCCATTGTTACTATCAAGGTCAGTGTGGTAGTTTCACTTTGTGTGGCCACTGCAGTGGGACTCTGCCATCACTCTTTTGAGAATTCAGTAATGTAGTCGGCATAGAGCACATAACATAGATATGCTGTGAAGCTAAGTCCCAATTTTTCTCTCTTCTCTCTGGAAAGCATCTAGGCCCTCAGGCTGGCTTTACCCTCTCCATGTCTTCTTTCCTTTTTGCATCTCTGCACATCAGGTGAGAGGCAAATTTTGTTGATCATTTCCGCTGTGGCTACCAGAGTCAGGACTTGCTATGGACAGCAGTGGGACCCGGTCTTCTTCTGCCACTGGGAAGATGCCCTGGAGCCCCCTAGTGCTCCCTCATTGGGTTTTCATAGTGTCTCTGCACTTCACAGCATAGCCCTGCCCTTAGAGGGGAGAAATGGAGCATGTGTTTGCTCCAGTGACCTCAGGGTCTGCAGGGAAGACACAAGTGGCTACTACATGCACATTAACAGAGGGATCATTCTGAGAAAAATTTCTGAAGGAAGATTTTTTTTCCTCATTAATTTCCACCTTGTTTGAAAGTAGAGGTGGGAGAGGAATTTTGATAGTTTTACATTTAAGAATTTTGTCTCACTATTCCTTGAAAGTTCTCAGCCATCCAACTACTAATCACAGAATAAACACAAAATAAATGTCACTACTTTACTGATTGGTGAATGGTACTACCATTGTTTTCTCTACAGATTCAGGGAGCAGGTACTAATTTTGTCATTTTTCTTTTATGCTTTCCTTTTATGAGTGTTTTCTTTTATTTTTATTTTCTTATTTTTTGTTTTTGTATGTTTGTGATACAGTCTTATCTCTTTCTCTTATTCAGAATTTTTTTTTTTGTTTTCTTTGCAGAATTCTGGGGACAATATCTTCTGCACTTGAGCCTGAAGCAGGACTTGTTATGTTCCAGATGTGAAGTCTGAGTGTGAACTGCATTTCATCCTGTTGCACAGATGCAGAATTTTACTTTGGTCTCTCATGTGCCCAAAGAGCTGATTGTTTACTTATAGATGTAATGCTCAGCAGATATCCTTGGGATGGCTCAACATACTAGTGAAAGATGTACAATTACCATGAAAGTTGGTTCAACCTCTAAAAATCAACAACGGTCATGAATGTAACAAGACCAGGTAACATCTCTTTAAAATGTACCCCTCTTTCTTGGCATGTGCCCCTGTGTAGCTTTCATTCTGAACCATTCATTGTGGAAAGCTCTGTACAGTTCATTACCAAATAACAGAATTTTGCTGTGAGCCGCCCACCCTGTATTTTAGAGTTCTTGCATGGCCTAATTTAATAAGAAATAGTGCTGAATAGTTCTTGGTTTGGACTGCTGCCTCTATGCAGGTCTTTCTGGGAGACCAAAATCTGTGTGCCCCTGGGCAGTGTAGAAGGGCTGCAGGGAGGGAGTCCAGTCTGAGCATTGATGAGGTGATCACATGGAAGGGTGTGGGTGGGCACAGGCCTGGAGGGGTTCTGGTAGAGGTTCTCCTGGCAACTGTCACACTGTGCTTTGCCCAGTAGGCACAGTAATATGTGGCCTCATCTTCTTTCTCTAAGAAATTTACTTTCAATGTTGACGTGGAAGTTCCAGAATGTTTACTTGCCTCAAATTCATTCCCACTTTGATTAGGAAATGCTGAGATATAGAGATTCTTGAGACCTTGATTTGGCTTTAGCCAGTACCAATGGATAGACACATTGTTAAAGTTTGTGATGGACACCTTACAAGAAAAGCAAGCAGTCTGATCTCTTTGCTTTGGAAACTGATATTTCAGGTTGCTCCAACTGCCCCGGTGCAACTGTAAACAAAGCAGAGAAATCCCCATGAAGGAATGGTACATAAAGAAGTAACAATAATCATGGCTTCATTCTCTCCCATAGACGGAAATGACTGGAGACAACTCACAAGCCCAGAGGGAGGAGAGGACTGCTTTCAGGAGCAGCATCCTGTGTGCCAGGCTGGCTTCCTAGGGAGTGGGTGAGACAGTGAGGACCCGAGCTGGAGGTCTCAGGTGAGTGGCAGGAGGGCGGCACTATCCTGGGTCTTATGAAGAAGTGGAGGGTCAGGTGATTTCCTGGGGTTCTTCATGATCTGCTGCAGCAAGGAGCTGTTCCGGGGTTTCTGAGCAGGTCGGGGAACTGTGTTAACAGTCTGGAGAGAGTCCAGGGTATGTATTGGTCCAGCTGGGGTGAGGCAGGGATGGTTCTCTGACCCACTCTCTAATTACCTGTGCAAGTTCATGCCATGGAAATATCACTTTAGTACTATGAACACACATTTGCTGTGTTCTGTCCCATAGTTGCCTTTCTGTGATAAAAGAAAACCTAAAAAGAGATATTAAAAAGTCGACAAAGACATTTTTTATTTACTTTTTCTTGCTATTTTTCTCTACATATTTATGGATAGAAGTAGTGTTACCCTGCTACTGGATATATTCTATACCCAAAGAATAAAATAGAAGACATCAATTGGAAAGCTGTCTCACATGTTTATTGCAGCACTATATCCACAATAACCAAGATGTGGAATCAACTTATGTGTCCATTAATGGAAGAATGGATAAAGAAAATGTAGTATACATCCACACTGGCATTTTATTCACCCATAAATAAGAATGAAATTTTATTATTTACAGCAACATGGATGGAACTGGAACATGTTAAATGAAATAAATCAGACACAGAAAGATAAATATATGGCAATATTGTTTGTTTTCTTGTTTTTAAAAAGACATTAACGGTCCCACTTATATGAAGAAGTTGGTCTCAAAGAAAGATGGAATGGAATAACAATTGCCAGATCCTTGGAGAGGCAAAGATGGAAAGAGAACTCTTCCCAGGGTGCAGCTGGGAAGGAGGGGCAATTTCTAATATTCTAGTGTACAATACATTAACTATAACTGACAATTCATTACATATTTCAGAATACTAAAAAGAGAAGATTTTGAGTGATATATGTCTAAGATGCTAGATGTGGCAATTACACTGACCTGATATTTACATATGATATACGTGTATGGAAATTTCAGACCATACCCCATAAAATACTGCTCTATTCAACTACTATGTGTCAATTAAAATTGTGCCTGTCAGTTTATATATGTAAATATGTATTATATATAAATATATATATATTTAGATCTAAGCTGCTTGTAAACTAGTTTATACTGTTTATTTAGTAAAAATGTAGGAAAAAACGATTGCTTGATACTACATACCAAGCATACTTGCACGTTTGGCTTTTATATTCTTCTTTAGATTTAGTCTTATTGTGAGGTGTAGTGCAGGTCTTCAATTTACCCATGTGAACATTGGTTTTAGTGTCTGAAGATAAATAAATCTCATCTTCTATCACTTAATCCTACAGAACTGGCTAAATCACTTAACCTTTTGGATCTCTTTCCACACATGGGCCTTGTCTATGTGTATACTTTATATGGGCATTAAGAGACTTACATTACCATATTCCATAGAATAATGCATGATATTCTCAGAAATTAGAACCTGACATATTGTGAGTCTTCAATGATGTTGAAATCTTAGTATTACTGTTCTGATCAAACAAGAGAAAATTACTTCGCTAAAAACTTTTATAACAAAGCCATAGTCTCTCATTTAGAAAATTTAAAAAGTATACAGAATAAATTAAAACCATCCATCTCTTTTAGAAAGCCATTCTTAAAATTTTAAAGATTTATCCTCTTTTTTAGGAAAAATGTTTGTCAATACAGACATTTGTATATTTAAGAGATTGTTATACACTTCATGAGCTTTTCTGTATGTTGTGTTGTTAATGATTTCTAAATATTTGATAAACCCACAGTACTTTGATTTCCAAGGCTGCATGGTAAGTCCTCATTTGAATGCAGTAGGAATCAGGGATTTCTTTCTCTGTTACTCACTCTTTTGTCTGAGGCCCGAAAGGCCAATGATAGAGTTCTCTGCCAAGATCTAACACAAGATGTCTCTGTCATTTGTTACTGCTCTGTGAGGTTTTTTTGAGAACTAGACGAGATAGCCACATGAAGAAAGCAACACAAACACTCTACAAACTTGTCTCTGCATTCCTGTCTGGAAAGAGTTTATATTTTCAGATCCTGGTGTTTCTCTCTGGTCTTTCTTTCTAGCTGAAAGTTTAGGTAACCACAGGGAGGATCCTATATAGGTGGAAGAAATCAAGTTTTCACGCACCAAGAGAATGTGATTAGGAATAGCAAGGACAGGAAATAGATCACAAAAGTTGAGGACATCCAAGGTGGGAGGAGAAAAGTGCAGACTGTCTGATTCCATCCTTCTTGTCAGTCTTTCCTGGGGCTCTCCTTTATTTCAGTAGACCCCCTAGGTCCTTAGAAGAGGGGATGATGAGGATGGATACATTGCCATGACCTTGGAAATTTGTCAAATAAATCAGACAACACTCATGCCACAAGTGTAAGGTGATACCCATATTTTCCATGGAGTTTCCATGATTTACTGCTAAAAACATGTATAGATAAAAGAATATTCTTCATTTGTTTTACAATACTTCAGAGAGTATAAAGGGATAGAACATTACTGTCTATTTTGCAAATCAAACTGATATTCATTGGCATTTCCTCTATTCTGTAATGATTCCTAATCACAGGGCCAGGGATTTAGCTCAGTGGTTCCACTGCCTGCCTTCCAAGTGCAAGGACCCAAGTTTGATCCCCAGTACCAAAAAAATAAAACCTAATCACTGAAATCCTGGTCTTATAATTCAGTACAGAATTGTGCAGTGCATTTTTCACAGAGGTGAGATTTGTTTTCTCCATGGGAACAGGACCAATATGTAGAACTTTGTTTTATCTTCCAGTTATTAAGATTTCAGACTCAGGAGCCAGATGGCCTGGGTCCCACCCTACTTTACCTGATTAAGCTATGTGACTTGGCCAAGTGTCTGAGATACCTAGTATCTCATTTATGTTATGATAATAACAGAACAAATCTCACTGATTGCTGTGAGGGACAGAAGAGTTAGTTTCTGCAAAGACTTGAGGATGCTAATAAAGATCTCCTTCATACACAAAACTATTGGCTGTGATTCTCTTGACCCATTCTGTCATAAGCTAAACCAAGATTATCCTAAATATGGTGGGCTCACTGGGCACCCTGATGCCTCCAAGCTCTAGTCAAGTGGCACCATGATGTCGCATCACTGAACGTGAAGCAAGAAGCTATCTTCTTCCTCCCCTTAAAAAGAAAATTGCTCTGTCCCAATTGCTGTATCTCAAATACTCAGTGTTGTAGAACTGTGACCTTTACATTTTCAGGATGGCCTTTTGATTCAGTTAAATTTAAAAAAAAACACTGAACTTCACTTTGGCCAATCACTTTAACTCTTTCAGATTTAATATCTTATCTGTAAAATGGACACATACTGATTTTACTGCGTATGTGGTGTGATAATTCTATTTGAGATTCCCAGTAAACACTGAGTCTCTCCCTCAGGCTGAGAGGCTGGCAGATAGTAAAATTCTCTGGGATGGTGATATAAATGGGTTATTAACCTGTGTCTGCATGTTAGCAGACAGAGCCTTCCTTCATTGGGAAGTAGTGGTAAATGAAGATTTGGTATTGAAATGTTCCAGGCCTCGTACTGAGCATGTCCCAAGATGGCTTCCCAAAAGTCTCAGGAAGTGCTGAGCAAAGGCAAGGTAGAGGCTGGAGCCCAGCCAAGAGCCCATGGAGCTTGCCAAGGTGGGGAGGATATGGTGGGCAGAGATCCAAAGGAAGCTACCATGTGTGACACCTTGGCATGTCTAGTGCCCTGAGCCCCAGGCAGCACAGTTGTAAATGGCCACATTTTTCTTTTCTATCAAGTTTTAAGTAAGGACCAAAGTAGAGATTTGAAAATTTTTCTTGGTTGAACTTTTTCTTTTAACCTAAGTGACCTCAAATCAGGGTTTTTGTTGCAATGAGTCCCTTGATTTGGTTTCTGCTTGTACCAGTGTGTAACTGTACTTACAAAAGAATACAAGTGATGTACTATTGCTCTGGGAATTAAGATTTTTTTAGTCACATCAGATTTAACTTTCTAAGTTCAATTGCAACAAAAAAATGGTATTTCCTATGAATATCTGACAAAGAGGAAATAGTAAAGATTCTTCATCAGATGATAGAGCTATGTTGAGATCATTACAGAGCAACGCACAGTGCAGAAAGAGAAAAACGCAAACACACTCCACAGTGACATTCTGCCTTGTGTCACACTTGTCCCTAACTAGAGACAGGAAGTGAGGAGCCTGGTTGCTGGCAGGCTGGGTCAGTGGGAGGGGGAAGTGGTGTGATATGGTAGGGGAAGAGGAAGTGGCTCAGGTGGCCTCTGGGGCCTGCGTGGCCTGCTGCAGAGTGATGCAGTTTGGGGGTCCTTATGTTCGAAGAGTGTTGAACTGAGGGGGAAGAAGGCCTAAGAACTAGATAGGAATGTGTCCCAGAGCAGGCTGGAGGCCATTCTGGAGTTCACCTCATTCTGTTTCAAACTTACCTGTTCCCTTCTTAATTTTCAGACTGTTAAAGCATTGCACCAGAGATGTTAGCATAAGACTTTTGAATCCTAAATAAGAATTAACCTCAATTAATGTGATTGGCATGTAGGACTCAGAAGTATGGAATATGGAGAGTAGCTAGCAAGATGCATTCTATATCTCAAAATGATTACAAGAAAGGATTTCGAATGTGTGCACTGTGAAGAAATGGTAAAAGGTTAAGGTGATGGGTCTGTTTTTTCCTGATTGATCACTGCCAATGTGCATATCATAGTGCCTTATGAATATGCACAAATATAATGGGCCAGTCAAAAAATAAAATTAATTTGAAAATAAATTCCTAAAAGTGTTAGAAAGCTAAAAAGACCTTCTACTTTGCGATTACTCATACTTCATTTTGTAAGTGAAATGAATGGAGGATTTTGTTGCATAAATAGAGACATCAACATGCTGACTATAACTTGGAGAGATCAAAATTCCTAGTCTCTGGGTTCTCCTCAGGAGGAGACTTGAGTGAAGTTGCTGGAGAGAATATCACACAGAGCCATGGGTGGGAATGGGAGCAGCTTCTACTTGTCCTGGGCTTTGGAACTCTCTCACCAATGCTTTCAGAGGATATTTTAAAATCTTGTTCTTTTTTGTGTGTGTGATAAGCCTTAGTATCAGATGTAATACCTATTGAGGACTTGTTAACACTCTTCTAAATGTTTTCTTGCACTATGTCATTCATGCTTCTTCCCAGTCCTGAGATTGATGGCATCATGATCTCCCTCTGACAGACAAGAACGGTGGGGCAAAGATGACTGATCTCAAGTCACCAAGCTGGCACGTGTGGAGCCTGGATAAGTAACAGACAACGCCTGAAGAAAATCTGAGGAAGTGTGCTGCAAAATGATGACAATAAAAGGCATCCTCGTATACTTTTAAACATTTTCTCTACATATTTGTAGAGTAGTATGTTCGGGTTAAACACTTTAAATCTTAAATGAGCTTTACAGATATGATTTACTATTCTATTCTTTCAGTTAACTTTATATTTGAAAATACATCAGACTCTTAAAAGTTAATGTGAATATTTTCATTAATGACCTGTGACTCTTTTTAACACCTTTTAGCAGCCTTTTAACCCCATCTGATGTGGCTGAGTTATGGAAAGACATTTTGTCTGAGTTTCTACTTTTATAATTGCTCAAATATCTTTAAGAGCCCGAAATTAACTTACCTTATTACACAAGAAAGAGAGTGAACATAAAGTATACACAAGGGTACAGTGCACCCTTGACTTACGAACTAAATTTGTTCACAAGGGCTGGTTGTAACTCAAGTTGGCTGTAAGTCAAGACTATTTTTCCCATAAGAAATAATGGAAATACCCATAATGTACTGCAAACATCCCAGAGCACCCCTTAAATATCCTTTTCATAATAAAAAGTGGCTGTATAATGTGTACCATTTACCAGAAACAACAATAATTTTTCTAGTGTAGTCACCAAAATGTTATAAAATATGCCTAGTTTACCAGAAACAACAATTTCATACTGTACTCACCATTCAACTTTACATCTTTGGCTTGCAGGAAGGGAGGATGAAATGGAAGGTAGTTATTGTATGGAAGGAGCGTCCCCTTCCAAAAGAACATCAGGAATCCGGCTCTCTGGTATCCTTTCTCTCCTTGGGAGAGTCTGTAGCCCACTAGGACCTGCTTCTGGCTCACTAGGTCTCAGTCTTTTCAGAACTGAAAACTGGTCTAAGGCTGTCAGTTTCTGTCTTTTCTTTAACACAGTTCTGTAGTATGACATGACATTGTCATTAGGTAAGTAAATGCAATGACTGGCTTTTTCTCTACAAAGACTGGGAAGATTGCACAGAACATTCCCTACAAATGTTCATACCTCTGTCCATTTTTTTAGGATTTCCTTTATTTCAGAAGAACTTTGCTTCACTGATTGTTGATATTCCTCTTCCTCTTCAGAAAGCTCTTCAGCTGCCATTCTCTGTTGCTCAGCCAGAAACTGCTGAGGTTCCTCTGTAGACAATTCTGAGGGTCCCTCCACAAGTTCCTCAACATCACTACTGCCTACCTGCAAGCCTATGGATAGTGACATTGTCATCAACCACAGGGTCAGCTGATGGCTCAGGCCCCTCTACGCAGCCTTCAAAGTCTCTCTCCTATATAATTTTAGGCCACACTTTCTTCCAGGCACATCTGAGTGTCCTTAGATGGACATTGAGGATTTCTCAATTAACACCATACAGGAAAGACCAGCATTTGACTCAATCACTTTGGTCAGAAGTTAAAACTAAAATTCTGGTCGTAACCCAAGTTGTTCATATGTGACACTGGTCATAACTCAAGGTTCCACTGTTCTTGGAACATAATAAACATTTATTAAATTTTCAAGTTGTATTTTAATTATTACTGAAACACAGAGAAAATTGCTTCATTAAATAATATTTAATTGCAAAAACTGTTGTAGTCTTTTGCTAAAATGAATAAAATCAGTAAAAATATAAAAAAGAAAATAGCCCACCCATCACATTGTGAAAAATATCTATTTTAGTACTGTAATAGTTCTTTTCATTTGGCTTCTTCCATTAATGTAGGCATTAACATATTTCAAAGCTAATGTATACTATCTATACTTTGTATGTTTTTTATATTTAACTGCAAATATTTCACAATTAACAAAGCCTCAAAATGTTATTTTAAGAAGTTTCATAAATTATATCATTTGAATGTGACAGAAATCATTTCCTTCTTCCTTCTGTGCCCCATTGACTTTGCCACTGCTTTTTCTGATGACCTTGTTTGAAACTGCTGGAACCTTTGCTCCTGAGACCGGTTCCTCTGGAGATGTTACATCCTTAAGGTCCACCAATCTGTTCTACCTTCCATGAGAAAATCCACACAAAGAATTTAGCGAGGATCACTTGAGATCATTCCAGTCCCCCTACATTCCTCCTGGAAAAGGATCATCTTCTCACATTTGATGTCTTTCTCTCACTAGCTAGTGGCAAATTTGCCTGTCTAAAAACAAGGAACTAGGAAGACTAGGCTGAGGCTCACAAACAGAGTGGCCCTTCTATGAAAAAAAAGAAACAGTCATAGACAGAAACAGTGTAGATAAGGATGTGAATCAAAGAAATAAAAGGCCCAGAAAGATAGATGAAGGAAGGATGGCTACTACATCTAATTTCAGTGCCAGTGTCTGCCTAGCCTTAAAATCCTTCTTTTTTCCTTTAGTTACATCTTAAAATTAAACAATAGACTGTATTCTTTCAATAGTGGACAGCAAGAAACAATACATTGGTGCTATTTTGGGAATGTTAAACCCAGGTGAACAGTATGTATAGGAGACCTACAAAGTGATATATATGTTTTTCCCAAAAAACCAATGTAAACACTATTAATAGAAAATAGCCCGAGGGATGAGCTAGGGCAGGGTGTTGTAGGTGGTGCACACTTGTAATCCTAGCACTTAGGAAGCTAAGTCAGAAGAATTTCCCCTTTAAGACCAGCTTGGATTACATAGCTGCTGCGAGGTCAGGCTGGGCTGCATAGAAAGGCCTTGTTTCAAAGGAAAATATGTTTTAAAAGTAAAAAATAATTTTTCTATTGAAAGTTAATTGGAAATTGATTCACTTTTCATTTATTCTAAAAAGACAATCAAATTCAGGGCCAATGCTTCGGCACACACTAATCCTTTGAGTTAATGAAGGCTCCATGTCTCCTCTATGGGAAGGGAACAGTGTCCTATCTTTGATTCCACTGTGAAGAAAGACTTTCATGTACTTGTCAAGAAATATCAAATTACCAGGATCCCAACACTGTTCTGCAATAAACAAGCCATGTGATTTGGACAAGGGTCTGAATCACTCACCTCCTGACTTAGACATACCAGATGAGAATAACAGAGAAAACCTTGTAAGTAGTGAAGGCTAAAGTACATGATGCAGGAAAAGAATTGAGATGCTAACAGGAAGTCACACACAGGCAATGTTAGTTCTTTGTGGTCTGGCCAGGTTCACTTTCTTGTCCAGTAAGGATCAAAGGCGATTCTCAGCTTGTGGACTCATGAGATAACTTCGTGGCCCTAGGTCTATTCTGCTGACATCATGCTGGAAGAATCCTCTTCCCTTCACCTCCCACAGAAATGGCACCTGCTCCATCCCCACTGTGGCACAGATAGCCTAGCCCTCACTCACACACTCAAAATCCTGGAACTATTCAGTGTGGCCCCACAGTCCAGTTGGAAAGGCATAACTCCTTGGCTTGGGTTGTTCACCAGGCTTCAGTTCTCTAAGCTTCAATGTCTTAAGCTCTACTCTGGACCAGAGGTAGTTATTCCACAGAGGTGTTGCGTGTCATGTATCCATCATATGTGGTGACAGTGGTTGCCATAATTCCCTCTATGCTGCTCTTGGCCACTTACCCAGGATCTCTGGATGCTGATGAGGTGACAGTGGCACAACCCATGACCTCGCAACCCATAAACAGGGCTGGAACTCAGTAGGAAGTAGCCTCAGATGGAGATCAGGAACCACATGCTGGGGTCAGCTGGTACTCAGGTGACAGCACCAACCAGGATGGCTTCCTGGAGAGGCCAAGGGAGATGAAAGGAGGGGCCTGAGGCTGAGAGAGCAGCTGGGGAGTTGGCTCTGGGCTCTTCTGTTGGAAAGGATGTGGGTGGGCACAGATCCAGAGGGGGGAATCTTGTGTGGGTCCTCTACACAATTGAGACATTGTGAGTCCCACATTGCACAGTAGTAAAGGCCCACATCTTCTTTTGCTACAAATTTTATAGTAAGGACTGAGGAGCGAGTTGCAAGATCTTTTGTTGCCGAAACTCTATTGATTTTTTCTTGAGCTGGGGTTGTTGTTGAGACTACTTGAATCAGATGCTCCAAAGCCTGATCCTGTTTCTGCAGGTACCAGTGAATGGCTTCATCTTCAAAATAGTCACCTGATACCTTGCAAGGTATGTCAACCCGTTTATTTTCTTCAATGGAAATGGATATCTGGGACTGCTCCATCTTTGTCACTCCAAGCCCAACTGTAAGTAAAAGAGGACAACTGTTGATGAATTCAGAATATAAGAAGGGATCATGGCAGCATTGCTTTGGACACTCATCAGGACCAAAATGAGAACAGAGTGACTCACAAGGATAGAAGGAGAAAAAGGTGACTGCTTGCAGCAGTGACATCCTGAATGCCAGGCTGGGTCCCCAAGGAGAAGGCAGCCAAGTGGGGAGCTGGTGGTTGGACCCTCAGGCAGAGCCCGGAGGGTGTGGCCAGAAATGGACAGAGGAAGGAAGTGGTGGGTGGGGTGACTTTGGGCCCTGGAGCCTCTCAAGTGCATCTTCTGTCCATTCTGCACATCTCAAGATACGGCTGGGGTCACTGTGGGGTTCTCTGCATGAATCTGAGGTGGTGAGGAAGGTGCCTTCTTTTCAGCGGAAAAACCTGGAAGCTATTTTTCTCAGGATTCCAATTTTTACACATTGCCTGTTTGATTAGTACTAACTTGAATAATCAAAAATATTAATGAGCATTTGTTATTTTCAAGTTTTTTCCTAAATATTCTTTACTTTTAAATCTTTACAATAATCACATAGTATGGACATCTGTAGTTGCATTTTATAGACGAGGATTCTGAGGTACAGAGGAGAGAAGGGCTCCAGTTTCACACAGTTGAAAAGTAGAACCTTCCTGTAAAGATGCGCAATTAAATTAGCAGAGGTGGGAGGGCATGGAAGTAGATGGGAGGTAAAAAGGATTAAGATGTGATATGTACGTTCCCAGTTCCTCAAGTTGAGTGTGGTGATTATCGATCATAAATATATGGTAATAAAAATCTACAAATATATATTTAAAAACTCACAGAAACAGGATAAGGGAAACAAAAACATCATTAACCATAACACCAAGATCAACAACTATTACCATTATGGTATGTCCACTTTTAGAGGTTTTCTTTGCAGACCCATGGATATCATTGTTTTTGTATAAACATATTTATCTATACAGAACTTAGGATTCTTCTTCATTGAGTTCATCTTATATTCTGAGCAAATTCCCACAACACTGAAACATCTTACTGTCTGCAGCTATCCACTCTGTGTCCCGTAAAAACTGCCTGACTCTGGGAAAAATTCTTCACCCCTTTTTGCCTCAAATTTGATTATGCACATGTCAGAATTTTATGCAAATTAAATATCATTCCCAGTATACTTCCTGACATATAGTAAATGTTCAGTATTTATTTAATATTTTTATTACTGCTTCATCATTTTTTAGTTCAACTCCCTCCAGCCTCCTGTCAATTTTTCACTTTCTCCCAGGCTTCCCTGTTAAAATGTTTCTGTGAGAGTCCTCAAGTAATGACCTAGATAGATCAAGAGAGATCTGTAAAATGTTGTATTTCATTTTCCCATATAAGAAACTGCACTTTCCCTACGTTATTTCTTCACCTAAGCTTCTTCACTTGTATTTCATTATTTCTGTGTGGTTTTCTCTGAAACCAGGCTGCATCAGCTCTCTTTAGCCCCTA